CGTACGTCTATATATATATATATATATATATATATATTATACATTTATATTAATATTAATAAATATTTTGTTTATTCTACAAACATAATATCAGGTGGAATTCTCCAGGCTAAATAAAGGTTTAATAAATAAAAAAATAAATAATGTAATATTAATATTACATGATTATTATATTAATATTACATATAATTAGGGTTGGGTGTCGTTTGAATTTGATCAATTCCAATTCTGATTCTTATCGATTCTCAGTTTCGATTCCAATGTGGTTAAAAAAAAAATGAAGTCAAACATTTAGATATCAAACATATTAATTCTGTGTCTCTTTTTGCAAAACATTGAATTGCTGCTAAATACCATGAACAAAAATCAGCTGGCTGCATAAAAACTGGACTCGATTACGAGCTGTTTGTGTGCAAAATAGAGCTGCACGATTGTAGTTCTCTCACAATTCTGAAGAAAAAGATATTAGACAACTAAACAAAATCTGATGGAATGTATGAATGGAATGATTCAATGACTCACTCGAGATTCACTCGATTCATTCCTGGATGAATCAGTGCTTTTGAACGAATCTCTTGAATGAATGATTCAAAGACAAATACATTTTTATATAAAAGAAATAAATAAAAGATGCGCACACACAGGAATTGATATTTGAATTTTACAACAAGTATCCGATTCTGAAATTGGAATTCATTTTCGATTCCCAACCCTACATATAATGTAACGATAACATTACATTTTATTTGCTTGAATAATTTTTTATATTGATGTATTAAAAGTAGCATTGTATTATATTACAAATAATAATATAACATAATATGTTGTGTATATATAATAATACGAATAACATATTATTAGTAGTATAATAATATTTCACTACACCTCATGTATGTAATATAAAGTGAGGAACCTTGAACCTCTGGATCATTAAAGGGCTTCAAACCTGCAACCCTTCACCTTCTTATTCGGTCACAATTCAGATGATGTCTGCTAAAGATCGCTTGATCTGGAAAGCATCTGCTGCTACAAACATCTGACAGACGTCTGTAAGATGTCAGTTTTGCATTCATTCTAAATCATAAACATCTTAAAGACATAATAAACGTCTATTTGACATCTGATAGGAAACGTCCCATACACGTATTGCAGATGAGCAACACTCTAAATAAACGTCTTGGAGACGTCAGATAAACGTCTCCATGATGTAGCGGATGTTTCCGTGAATGCCTGACCTTCCTCGAGGTCCTCGAGGCTCGCGATCTTCCTCGCGCCGTCCGCGCTGTAGATGTTGCGCACACCTTGCGGCAGGTGCAGGCTGTCGGCGAGCGCGCGCGTCAGCTCGGCCAGCAGCGCGTCCAGGGATCGGAAGCGGTCGCCGGACACCGCGTACACCAGACCCTTGAAGTACCGGTCTCCGTTCCGGTAGAAGCGGACCTTCTTGGCGCGCTTCTCGGAGCTGAGCGCCTGCAGCGTGCGCGTGCGGTAGAAGCTGCAGTTGGCGCTGTGCGCGGGGCTCGGGACCAGACTGCTCGCGCGCGAGCCCGGACCGCCGGCGGCGGCGCGTTTGGAGCGGCGCGCCTTGTCCCGCTCGTCAAAGTGCTCGAGCTCGATGCTTCTGCTGAGAGACATTGTCCTTCCCGGTAAACGTTCCTTCTTTCTGTTTCTATCGCGCGCTCTGATCGCCGGAGTCCGCTATTGTCATCAGCGCGAGCGACGGACGCGCCGCTCTCCCCGCCGCGCGTTTACCGGGCGCATCATTTGCATCAACACAAAAGCGCCCGGCGTTTATGCCGCGAAACGCGGAATTATTCCGGTAAATGACCGCGTCACGCCAACCTAGACGAGCAGGAGAATCCCGGTCAAACGCGTAATTGCAGTGAGGCTGTGTTTAAAAAAAAAAAATCCCGATCCGCCCTTAAACGAGCGCGGCGCGTGCGGTTTTGATGCGCTGTAACCGGGCAGCACGGCTGTAAACGGGAGCGCGCTGCAGGTGAGCGCTCGTGCGTGTAGCGCGCGCCCGCGGACTCCTGCGCGTGACAGACGGCGAATCCTATGGAGGAACACATTACTCCAAATAAACGTTGAAATATATAAATAAATCGTTAAATACATAATTAAATATATAAATAAATCATTAATTCATCCATCCATCCATTCATTTATTCATTGTAAACGGGAGCGCGCTGCAGGTGAGCGCTCGTGCGTGTGGCGCGCGCCCGCGGACTCCTGCGCGTGACAGACAGTGAATCCTATGGAGGGCCAAATTACTCCAAATAAACGTTGAAATATGTAAATAAATCGTTAAATACATAATTAAATATATAAATAAATGCATAAATCATTAATTCATCCATCCATCCATTCATTTATTCATTCATATAATATATTTAATTATTTAATAAACATCCATTCATTCATTCATATATTTAATTACTTAATAAATATTTATTTATTCATTCATTCATTTATATATAATTATTTATTTATTTATTTGTTCATTCATTCATATATTTAATTATTTAATATTTATGTATTTCCTCCACATTTCATTTTCAGGGTTACGGTTCTCGGCACGTATAAAAAAAATGAATGAATTAATATTTAATAATGTATTTATTCATGTATTTAATTAAGTATTTAACGATTTATTTATATATTTCAACATTTATTTAATGATTTAATTTGAAGTAATTTGGCCCTCCATATGAATCTGGGTCGTGCACAGATGGGAAAAATGTGATGTTTGATATTTCTGTTTTTAAAACATGAAAGTAGAGGTTTATTTTTATATTCCTTATTTGAGCCACAAATAAACTGCAGGGTTTCATTCTCTCTCTCTCTTTTAAGAATATCTGAACTTAAACATGAAAAATAAAATCAATAAATGAAATAAAGTAATATTTATTTATGTATTTAGGCAAAAAAATAAAATAATCATATTGACCATTACAAATGGAAATGTGCAAATCATAAATTAAAAAAAAACTGTGCTTTTTAAATTTATTTTATTTAATGCATGCTAAAATTACAATTCGTTAAGAATGATAAAATTAAAGTAAGTAAAGTAAAATAAAATAATAATAAAAAATACTAAGCACTGTCCAGTGCTTGCGTACTTTATTTATTCTTGCGCAAGTAAAAAAATAAAATAAACGTATTGAACATTACAAATGGCAATGTGCAAATCATAAATTAACCAGACGGTGCTTATTTTTATTTATTTATTGAATCCATGCAAAAATTACGATTCATTAAAAATGGTAAAATTAAAATAAATGTGAAATTAAATAAATAAATAAATACTAAGCACTGTCCAGTTATTTATTTGCAAAAAAAATAAATAAAAGAGCATTACAAAATGCAATGTGCAAATCATAAATTAAAAACCAGACAGTGCTTCATTTGATTTATTTAATGCATGCAAAAATAATTCATTAAAAACTGTAAAATTAAAATAAGTAAAAAAAATAAATAAAAATACTAAGCACTTTCAAGTGCTTGCCTGCTTTATTTATTTATTACATGCAAAAATGACAATTCATTAAAAATGGGAATACTCAAGTAAAATAAAAATAAAATAAAGCACTTAGTTAGTTAATACATGCAAAAATGACAACTCGTTAAAAATGACCAAACTCAGTTTTTTTCCTTTATTTTACACTTCAGTTTCTTCCAACAAAGTACATCATACATGAAAATGCACCATGTTTTTAAACAAGGTAATATTCGCCTGGATTTCTCACGTAATTGTCTCGACATTGATTTAATGTTTCCTCAACTCACTTTCACTTCACTAAAACTTCACAGAGGAGTTTAATCAATTCTACACAGACTCTTCATTAGTGTGCACAATCAAACAATGAGCTGCTGCACGTCTGATATTAATAACACTGATCAGAGCATCATCTTTTGCTTCTGAACAAACAAAAACTTTCTGTTATACGAGCGTCTTTTTTAGAATTAAAAGATGAAACATATGAGATTGCTTTTGAGCATCTGAATAATTAATTATTATTGTGCCACAGTAAAGAGGAAGAAATATGAATACTGCAGTGTGCTGGAGTTTGCCTCCATTGATGTGCTTTTAATGTTTCATATTTTTCTCCACTGATGAAGATTTCAATATTTGTCTCATTAGAGAATTAAAGCTCCTTTCATGGCAGTTGAATCGCTGTAAGACACTTCAGATTGTCTGAAAGCTGCTTTTATTGTCAGCACATTCTCAGGATTATCATTTGCATTATAAAGTACAGTAACTCACAGCTTTGGTCCAGAGGAAAATCACTGATGAGCAGCCAATCAAATAAAGCCACGCATTTCCAAACTGAAATATTTAGAGAGATTTAGAGACTCTTTTGGTTTTCGGTTGCAATTAGGTTTGAGTTCAGTTACACTGATTTTTCATATTTCATATGTGAAATGTTTCAGAGCAGGGTTTCTCAAAATGGGAGCAAATAATTACTTAAATCATAAATATGTAAAATTTTAATAACTCATTTTAAAATTAAAATACATACTAAAAATGAAATGACAATTCATAAAAATGTATAAATGTAAATAGTTTTAAAATAAAAATAATTAAAATGCTTACTAAAAATGAAATAATTTATAAAAATTTAAAATTTTAATAAATAATTAAAAAATAAAAGCAATTCAAATGTAACAAAAATTATTTATAGAAATGTAAAATTTAAAATAAAAACATTAAAAATACTTAAAATGAAATTCACAAAAATGTTACATTTTGACAAATAATTTAAAAATAAAATACAAATTTGAATAATTATAATAGAAATGCACAATTGACATTCTTAAAAACTTACTAAAAATTAAATAATTCATAAAAAAAATTTAAAAAGTGAATAAATTAATTACATAAAAAATTATGAATAATGGGGTGATTTTCTTCATGAATAGTGCTGTATATATCATCAATAACACATAATACACACACAAAACACTGAAACAGAACCAGATGAGTCTGAGGTTGCTGAAGACACCTGGTGGAAGACCTGTGTGTGTGTGTGCGTGTGTGTGTGTGTGAGAGTGTGTGTGTGAGAGAGAGAGTGTGTGTGTGTGTGTGTGTGTGTGTGTGTATGTGTGAGAGTGTGTGTCTGTGTGTGTGTATGTGTGAGAGAGTGTGTGTGTGTGTGTGTGAGAGAGAGTGTGTGTGTGTGTATGTGAGAGAGTGTGTGTGT